CGGCCTGAAGCTCAGCTTTTAACTTTATGAGCTGCTCGTTCTTTTCTTTGGCCACCTCCGCAACTTTGGCCAACTCAACCGACATGAGGTCATGCGCTAACAGCAAGTTTTCTTTCTCGGTTTTGAGGGTGTTCACCTCAGTCAGTGTCGCCTGGAGTTCGGCATCCTTCTTTGACAAAGCTGCCTCATAGCGAGACTTCTCATCTTCCAAAGAAGCTATGGCACCTTCCTTCAGACTCAGCTCATGTTGTTTCTCATCGAGTTCATGAGCTCTGTTCCGGTAACTATCTTCGCCTGCTATAAAACTGACAAGAGCCCGGCCCAAACAACCCCGGGCGTAACTGAACTTCTGGTCATCTGGCAGCGATGCGATCCCCGCATGAGTCTTTGGGTCCCACGACATCAGTGGAACCCTTGCCGCTTTAACTGTTTCATCGGGGAACCGCTGGTTGTTCGTGATTTTTGGCTCGACAACCGTTTGGAACATCGAAAACCAGGGGTCAAACACGCCTTCTGGCAGCGTCAACTCCGCCGCCTTCTTCTCATTTATCTTGAGGAAGGAGTCCCTCAAAACGATTTCGGGTTCTTCTTCCTTGTCCTTGCCAGCACCAGTGTCTTGTCTCTTCTTCATCCTCTCCGCCACATGAGATACACTGGATCTTTTACGACGATGAACCACTGGCTCGTCGGGCACCTCCTGCACTTCTTGAGAGATTTCCGCCTCAACCACGGACTCACCGACTGGTGTCATTATTTGCCGCAGTGGTTCCACTTCAAGTGGCGGGACGTCGGCAGCTGTTGGCTCGTTCACGATCGCCGGCGTCGGTTCTACTCTAGTTGATGACGGTTCACCAACAGTAATCTGAGATCGGTTGGGATTTTTCTTCAATGCTTTGAGAAGATTCATACGTCCGGCCATCTCAGTTGATCGGAGATTCTTGTTTTTTTCGACTTTGTTTTTTAAGTCCTAGTTCGGATTACGTCTCCGATGCTCTTCAGCTTCTGCAGGATCTCCGAAACCGAAGTATCCCAATAACGGGTAATAGACTGTTACAGTAAGTTTAAAGTTAGGACGATGTCGTTAACATGAGTAATGATATGAGATAAACGAAGTAAGTGGAGAAGATTACCTGGTAAAAATGAAGAATTAAGTACTCCAGGAGACAATCCAGCCAACTCTAAGCGAGAATCTTTCACGAGTCGTTGATATCGACGTTTCTTGGCGGACACTTCAAACAATTTGTCTACTCGATCGTACAGTAGACCTTCAAACTTCGGCTCTTTCTTCCCGGTTGGTTTTGCTACAAGGTCACAAAAGTCCACCTGTTAGCGACAACAAAAAACAAAATATTAATAACCGAAGTGAAGAAAATGGAAACAACTTACAATAACCAGATTTAGTGGCCATTGGGACGCTTATCCCGTCGGCAAGAAGATCATTAGCGAAGTCGGGACACTGCCAATCTCCCCTGACCCACAACCACTCCTCTTGGAACCCATGTAGAGTATCGGGGACCTCCATTATTAGCTCACCAACTTTAACCCTCGGCTGCAGTTTACCGACAATGGAAAAGGTGAGAAGTGGGTCCGACACTTGTCTATCTGGGCTCTTCCGAAATGTGAACATGCTTCTTATGTCCTTTGCCGACGGCAGATCCCACTTTTTCTCGGCAAAAAGTACCAGCAACCCAATAATTCGTTTCCAAGAATTTGGAGCGATTTGGCATATCGAAAACTCCCAATCCCGCAAATATTCGGTAATTATGCGTGGCAGAGGAAATCGTAAGCCCGATCTTAGGCTCTCAGCAAACACTCCGACGCAATTGGGTGGAGGGCATGTGATCCTTTCACCTGGATATGGGGCAAATAGGTGTACCGACGACGGGACTCGAATTTCGCCCCGCAGCATAACGATGTCGGCATCAGTGAGAATACTCGGCTCGCCATGGGATGTTATTTCCGAGTTTGGCCATCTCCTGATAGGTCGTTTCCAAAATCTTGAGTCGTCGACGGTGTTTTCCTCAACAACTTTATCCCCTTCACTATCATTCAGCCGGATCTTCAACCGTTCAACAAACACCGGGTCCCACCGGTTGTACTCAGATAATAGCTCTAACTCCCCAGAGTGAACCATGTTAATCATCATCACATCCAACTCGTCGTCGCCCGAAGATGCCCAGGATACACTCATGATGTCGAAAAAGAGAAGGAAAAGTCGGCGTAAATAAATGAAATATGATGAAGAATTCTTACCACAGGAACTCGTTCGTGAATCTGAAGTTTTGAGTACGGATGACAGGTGATTAATTTGCAAAGGAAGCCAAAAATACGAGTGCAAGAAGAAGATGAAAGTAAAGTAGATCTCAAAAGAAAATTTTTTATTTATACCAAACCCTAAATTTCAAAGCGACCGTTGAGAACCGATAGGAATAGGGGCGCGTGAACTACACGTTCTGGATCTGCGAGTCGACGCGACCCTTGGGAGTCGTGCCTCTTTATAATAGCTACGTGGTCTATTTTAAGTGACCGTTATTCCTACTGAAAACGGTGCAATTAATTTCAGTAAAGCGCACCGTTTCAACTTTCAAGTGCCATTCCTAGAAGTGTGAAGACGTCGGATGCAGATAACGGAACCGACATGTTACGTTAATGCAAAAAATTCAGCTACGTCCTGTTAAAGTTTCAGCATCACTGTCCGTCTTGTGTCCAGACGACCAGTAATGCTGGGGGCCACCTTGTTGACATCATTTTCAGTAAGCCAAATTAGGTGACGATAATCCGCCGATTGGGATCAGTATAATGATAATTAAGGTTCATGCAAGAATGTGACACATCCACCGACTTCAAGACAACCGCACGATGAAAGATTCAACAAAAACCGACGTCTCTGTTATAACCGATATCACATGTCGGTCAACACATGTCGGTCAACACATGTCGGTCAACACATGTCGGTCACGACCTGTCGGTTATAGCTGGATGAACCGATATCTATAACATGCCACCTCAGCATGGTAAGGCGGCGACAACTCAGCATAAGTCATCATTACATTTGCCCAAGTGGCAGGTTATCAAGAAAAGCAGACAAAGACCGCCTTTGACCCTTCAAAGTGTAATGATTATTATACAGATAAATATTGTACGTAAATATAAAAGGAGAAGATTAAAAATTCTCCAGACACGCCAGACAAGAATAAGACCTTACAAAAAACTTTCATTTTCCTGTTATAATTCGCAAGCTCTTATCGCTCAATATCCAACTTTACTTTAGATTTACTTCAAATTGGTTGTTGTTAATTTCTATTTGACAACATAGATATATAATGAGGTGAAAAAGATTTTGACTCAATAATCATATATATATCCAATAAAATAAGAATTTAATTATACTTATTTAAATAAACTGGAATATGCTTAATTAAAATTAACGATATGTCACACAAACTCTACTCAATGTTATCAAGATAATTAAATAATATCAAGAAACTATTCTTGTATATCACACCAATTTTAATTCATTGTTCATTCAATCATATAATTTTAACTATACATCACTTTCAATCATTTCTTTCATTTTTTTACATCAAATCAATTTTAACTATTTAATTTTGCATATTATTTAATACAAACTTAAAATCTCACTCGAATCTGACAATTTTTTTAACTTAATTTTAATTATTTATTTTGAATATTATTAATACAAACTTAAAATTTCATTCAAACCTAACATTTTTTTTTTGTTAAAAAAAAAAAAACTAAATCTAGTAAAAAAAAAAACATAAATACAAAAATCATAACTCTAACTTACTTTATATCAAGCACACCCCCTTCATTTCCCAATCGAAAGTAGAAAAGGTTGTGCATGTACAAAATATTCCTTTCATGATCAACCTCTTTGTGGTTTTTACAAGTTGATGATAGAAAAGTTGTATAAGTAGCCTTTTCTCATCTCAGATATTTTGGTACTAAAAAACAAATAAAATAAAAATATCTCCAACCATTAATTAACCATCCACATCCATATATATTTCATATCAAAACGGCACTCCTCTAATGGAAATTGGTATCTTGATGCAACAAAGGGCCCCTCGCCATGGACATTATATGCATTATTTCATCTCGAGAAAAGCATATATAAGCTATTACTTATAAACTCTATGTGTTGAAATAAGTTAATTGAATTATTTATTCCATCTAGTTTATCAGCTAATTTTATCAAATAACTTTTGTTATATAAGTTAGCTTTTCAGCTATAAGCTATAAACTCAAAAATTACTGATAAGTTATAAGTTAGCTTATCAACTATCAGCTAATTTTACCAAACATAAATAGCCATTTTAATACATACTATTTTTTAATATAATTTATACTCTTATTTTTTTTTTATTATAACTTAAGTGAGATCAATCGTATTAGTATGAAGTATTTTGTTTTATGAAACTATTACAATCTTTTTTTGTCTATAATACAATATCCTTCAGTTTGTTGTGAATCCGTCGGATGAGATTAGTTTATGGAACTATACATAATTACATTAACAAATGTTGCATATTACATGTACAGTTTTGCTATGAAGTCAGAATCAACCTTTATATACAAAAAAAAATAAACTATACTATATTATCTGATTACTTAAATGAAAAGTTATAGTTTTATTACTTGTTGTATATGTCAATTTTTTTTTTTATATATATTTTTTTTTCATTTTCACTGAAATAAACGCAATTAAAGAGAGAAAAATAAAATATCTCCCTCTCAATCAAAGCCGTTGAATTTTCTCATCCCATCCACGGATTCACAACTCCACAAAAATCGATAAATATCCCAACCAATCACAGACCCACACTTAAACCAATCTGATTGCAGAGAGCCCCCGCCGGCGGGCCCCGTCGGCGTACACTCAAGAAGTTTAAAACCCTCCTCTGTAGATCACAGTTGCTCCACCACAGTCCCTCACTCTCTCAAACCCTTTCCTTAATCGGGGAACGTCTCGCCGAACCATGGCTCGCGCCCTGTTGCTGCTCGTCCTTGGTGTTCTGGTCGCCTGCGCCGCCGGCGGGCAAGGCGGAACGGAGTTCCTCGCCGACGAAAACCCGATCAGGCAAGTCGTCGATGGCCTGCACGAGCTCGAGAACTCTATTCTCCGGATCGTCGGGAGCTCGCGGCGCGCCCTCTCCTTTGCTCGCTTTGCTCATAGGTCCTTATTATACACGTTTCTCTTTTTATTTTATTTCCCGATACCTATTTTGCGGGTTTGGATTGACTATTGATGAGATTTTTCGCTTGTAAAAGGTACGGGAAGAAATACGAGAGTGCTGAGGAGGTGCAGAGGAGATTCGAGATATTTGCAGAGAATCTGAAGATGATCAGGTCGCATAACAGGAAGGGTCTCTCTTACACTATGGGAGTCAATGGTAATTTTCCCTTCATATGTGTGTGTGTGTATGCTGTAATGGTGTGTGTGCAGTAATCCATGGTTCTTCAGTTTCAGCTCCTTTGATTTAAGCTGATTTTAGTAGCTCCTGCTGTTATTTCTTACGTTCTTTTACGCGTTAACTGTTGTTTAGTGGAGCTTAGGTATTGTTTTCAATTCTTTTATTATCTGTCTGCTATGTTGATTGCCTGTCTGGTTTCCGATTCAAACAATCATAAGTTGTATGGATTGAGTGTTGTAGAAACCTTAATAGTACTTTAAAGAATGTACCCGTATTTAAAATAACATCATTTTCACGTTTTCGACTTTGAAAGAGGTAGTCGGTGTGAGTTTGTGATGATCTTTCTAATTGCTGTGCTTTTAGCTGGCTTCTTTTAGTTGAAATTTTAATTGATGAATATAGGGTTCTAATTCTTTGCTTATTTTGTTGTAATAATTTAAATGACCAGCTTTTGCTGACATGACTTGGGATGAGTTCCGCAAGCATCGTTTGGGAGCAGCTCAAAACTGCTCTGCTACCATGAGAGGCAATCACAAGCTCACTGATGTTGTACTTCCAGAATCGGTACTTTCATGCTACCTTGTTCTCACTCTAGTTGTTTGATGGGTTAAACATCCGATTATCAGCAAGTAAATCATATGTTCCCACCAATGGCCCAGATGATATCTGTAAATAGTAAATACGATGATGGAGGATGTTAGATGTATCACATGGTAGCAATTTATATTTTCCATTGGCAATCTGTAAGTTAGAGGCTGAAAATGATACTGAAACTATCAACGCTAAACTCTCTGGTTCCTTCTTGTGATAGACCTAGATATGTAGTAAATGATCATTTAGAAACTTAACTACACTAGTCAGGCATGTGATTATTCGGGAACAATAATTCATTTACTTGTGAAATTTGACTGGATTGCAGAAAGACTGGAGAACAACTGGCATAGTAAGCCCCGTCAAAGATCAAGGTAGTTGCGGATCTTGCTGGACATTCAGGTGAGCCCATTTTCAGATCGATCGCTGGGGATTAGGACAAAATTCTTAATCATTGATTGAAAGTAATAAATTAATGCGCAGCAAATTTTGATCCGTATTTGTATAATAATTAATGTATATATGCAGCACAACTGGAGCTCTTGAGGCGGCTTATGCTCAAGCATTTGGTAGAGGTATTTCTCTGTCTGAGCAGCAGCTTGTGGACTGTGCGGGGGCTTTCAACAACTTCGGGTGCAATGGCGGATTGCCCTCTCAGGCCTTTGAATACATCAAGTACAATGGCGGGATTGAGACAGAGGGTGCGTACCCATATACTGGGATGGATGGGGCCTGCAAATTCTCGTCCGAAAATGTTGGTGTCCGGGTGCTTGACTCTGTAAACATCACCCTGGTATGATTCTTCTCGTTAGTGCTTATTTTTTGTTGCGTTTCTAGTGAAAATTTCCTGTGAAGAGCTTTCTGGTTTGGGTTCGAATATTATGGTATCACATACCGTACTAGAAAACACAATATGACGATGCATTAGATTTTGTGAGAATATATTTGTGCCCGTGTATGCATTTTCTTTTCTAAACTTGATTATAAAATCACAGGGTGCTGAAGATGAGCTGAAGCATGCTGTGGCGTTTTCTCGTCCTGTGAGTGTGGCTTTTGAGGTGGTGAATGGTTTTAAGTTGTACAAAGAAGGGGTTTACACTAGCACTAAGTGCGGCAGCTCCCCTATGGTGAGTTCTTTCTACTCCTTAGGGTGCCTGAAAAAAATGAATGAATTGTATAGAAATACAGTTTTATGTAGAAAAAATGAATGACATATGTATCAGAGTTAAAAAAGTAAAGGAATTGCATAAAACATGACAAGATGGTTCATTTTGATAAGTCACTTATTTTAATCTAAGTTATTTTTCGATTTTCTGTTTTATGATTACTTATTTTACAATGGCATCCTGAAATGGAAATAGGGAACTTTCTGGCTTTATGTAGAACATATAAAGAATCACATTTCTCCTCGGTTTTTGGTGGGAAAAATATTTGCAGGATGTGAACCATGCTGTCCTTGCTGTTGGTTATGGAGTCGAAAACGGTATCCCATATTGGCTCATTAAGAACTCATGGGGCGCTGAATGGGGTGACCACGGCTATTTCAAAATGGAAATGGGCAAGAACATGTGTGGTACGTCTGTTTTGCCTTTAAATATATATATATATATATTTCGGGTTAACCTAAATTCTATGATGAGTTTACTTTTGCATTACTCTTATCGACAAAAAATCTTTCTTCAGGCATTGCCACCTGTGCTTCCTACCCAATCGTTGCTCATTACTGCAAAGGGGCGCACGGAACTTCTGATGCCGTTTGCTCGTAAATCGATAATATCCCGTCAAGAGTCGTGGCGTGCAAAACAGTAGTATGATCATGCATAATAAGATCCAGGAAAAACGGGGGTGAACTATATATTGCATGAGATTGTAGTCTGTACTGTGCTTAAATGGCGCCGTGTAAATTATTATGAAAACGCCTAATGTATTTATTAATGTACAACACTAGAAGAAAATACTATTATTTCTTATTAATTTTGCATGGTTTGCTTTGTGCTACATATTGGTTCTATACAACTTTATGGGGCATCATTTTGAGCCCAAGGAAAGTGTCTTACATATGATTTGACTAAAAAACACTAATGACAACACGATTACCATCCAATTGATAATTTTTTTAACACAAATTCTTTTGTCATCCGCCTTAATCATTAGATGGATCACTTGTTATACCGTTGGAAAAGAATTATGCTATCAAATATCATAATTTTTGTGTATTTTTTACATTTTAAAGCAAATTTATGCTATCAAATATAATAATTTT